ATTTTAATAATATTTTTTATATTTATAAAAGTATTGTAATAATAATATTTATTATTATAGTAAAAATAATGATTAAGAGAACAATAAGTGCCTAATACATCAGCTGTCATATTTTTAATTTTATTTTAATTTTCCTTCGGATACCATAAATAATTAAAAACAATAAAAACGGGGGGGGAGGGGGGAAAGGAAAGTAATTAATTTCAAGAGAAGTAATTAAAATATAAAATAAGTTTTACAATTTCCATTTTATCAAACTTTACTTCGAATATTTCAATTTTCTCTCGAGTGTTAAAAATAATCTAAGACATAATTAATTTTGGAAGAATTGATTAAAGTTTATATAGCCTCGGTTAAGCACCATATCCATTTTATATCTCATTTAGTTCTACAATGTTATTATGAAAAATATAATTAACCTTTAATCCCTTAAGCGGTTATATTCTATGATGTATACGTTATAACCGAAGTAACTATATTGCAGAGATGATGGACATATTTCTATTATGAAAATTCTTGTGCATCGTCTCAATGTTATATAGGATAATATAATGTAATATAATGTAATAATATTCTAAATAATTTTTAAAACAATAATAAGAAAAATATTATGATTGACTATTATTGATGATGACTATATTGATTAATAAATATCTAATACAAATGAATTTTTTTTTGGTCTATACTTTGTAACTTATTAATTTTCTAATATTATTATAATTGATAAATTATTATGATGTAAAGAGTATTAATTGATATAAGAATAATAACAGCATGATATATTTTAATAAATAAAAAATAAAACATATATTTGCTTGTTACAAATATATAAATTTCCATTATTTACAATCATCAATCATATCAATCACATCATTCAAATATATAGTCTTCTCTCGTTATTTCACACAACTCAAAATAATAAACAATTTATAAATGACAGGACTAATCATAAAATCAATTATGTAAAACCAAAGCAATGATGTTATAATATAAATAAAAGATATGATTCTATGTCTTATTACTGGACTATTATATACATTTATGTAATTACATTACACAAAATGTGTAGAATATATACAGGATGAATGTGAAATATATTCACAATATTTTAAAACTCACAAACGTAATTGGGTACAATGATTCGAAGGAAGTAGCAACGTTACAAAGGCAAGATATAAAAATACATAAAGTCGTATAATCGTATTATCGTTTCATTAGATGCAAAAGAATCGAAAGAATTTCCTTTCACGTTTTAAAATTGATATCCTCCAAAGCTTCTATTATTTCTCCAATCGGTATAGAATTCGAGATTATTTCGAATTCCATTAGAATGGAATTTATTGTTGAAAGTTTACCCGGTTGGCTTCCTACTTTCTTTCACGATATAAAACAATCGTGTATCATAAATTCGGAAAGTTTTGAGACGGATAAAGGGAAAATTGGACTGCGACAAGTTCTCTGATTTTGGAGCGAACCCAATTGACACGAATCCACGTGTTATCATACATCATATTTAATATGACACTTATGAATTATCGAGAATTATTTATCTCTACTGCTTCGTGTATATTGCTTCATATATTATCCTCTGATGCATTGTATCAAATTCTGTAGATTTCTTTTATATATCTATATAATTTTATCATTTCATAAATATTCTTTTTTAATTTATTTCTTGTTAAATTAAATATTTCGATAAAATATTATATCTTCTATAGAAATTATGGAGAGAAATAGTTTTATTTTATTAGAAAAAATTGATAGGATTGAACATAAACATACTTTACGTTTCTTTTTAATTAATAATTGATAGATATTTTATTAATTTCTCGAAATAATTATATATTTCTCTAGATTTTAATAGGTATGTTAAATTACAAAATATAATACATATGTAAAATATTTTGAATTTGATGGAATTATATAAGTTATGTTGTAAGAAAGTTAATTTATTTAAATTTCACATTTAAATTTAAATTAAATTTAATATATTCAAATCTTTCATATTTTTAAAATAAATAAATTTTAAAATTATATGAATTTATCTAAGAAGTTTAAATTAAATTAACACTCCATGAATATTTTTTTAAGTATTTTTTTTTTATTATTCTAAAAATCTAAAAGAAATAAATTTTAAATTTGGTTTGAAAAATAAAAAATCTTTCAAAGGAATGAAATTTTATTTCTTTGCTTTTATATACATTTAATTAAGTTTATTTTCTTTATCACAATCTCTCTTAAAAAATATTTCCAATTAAAAAATTACAATTAATAATAGGAAATAATTATATATTATATTCGATCATCAATATTGTTAAAAAGAAAAATATACATATTTTTAATCTAGAGCAGAGAAAAGTTTCTGCGAAAACAGCCATAATCTCAACTACACTCAACTACTTATTAAAAATCGAGATCACTAAACGAAGCGTGACACGACGCCTCATCCCCTCCTAGACCCAATTTATCGGAAATAATCGAATCACGAATGAAATCAAGCTTATGATTGAAAACAAATAGAAACATCTTGGTTAACGATCCTTTCTCCCCTTTCCACTTCAACCTAACCTCCAACTTATCGATAAAATTTCTCGCGAAAGCGAAAAACTTAAATTTATTATAGATTAGACGGATATCGATATTCGAGAAAAGAAAATCCACAACCGTCTTCTCTCGTAATTTCTTCCCCGCCTCTCCATCGATAAACTTCGTTCCCGTGCTATTGCACACACCGAGCGATAATTAATTGAAAGGTCGTCGATCAAAGCCAGACAGTTTCTTGTCTGGCCCGAATCATGGCGTAATCATAATGGATCCAGAAGCAAAAGCCAGAGAAATGAGGTGATAGGTAAGAATCATTTTAGAAGTTAATTATTTCTTTCCAAGGTTGATTGTTTAATTGTATCAAAGATATTATCGAAAGATTATTTATAGTTTCGAGGGTAATAACGATAGTGTAGATTGAATTTATGGAAATGAATATTTTTTTACAGGAAATGAAATTTGGACATTTTTCACGCGTATTAATCTAGTTAGTTATAAAATGATTGACAGATAAGCTTTATTAATAACTTTGTCGATTTTTTAAATTACAAATATATATACACGAGGATATACTTGTATGTTTTTTTCATATATATGTCTCTAAAAAATGACTCATCACATTATCACGTAATAGTATGATGATGTAGATTCATTTATTGTTTTTTAACAATAAATAAGAATATCATGTATTATATGTTATAATTAGATAAAAATATAGAAAAGATTATCTATTATAAAGGAAATTATAATAAACGATAAAGAATATGATAATTCATCATTTCATTATATCATTATATTAATTATTGTACTTTTTCTTTGTCCATAGAATTGATTCTCCAAAGATATCTCACTGTATATTCTGTTTATATGTTGTACATTATATTTTACATGCAACATGACATAATCTTTAATTTTTTTATGATATATAATTTCTTGTAGTGAAGTTAAATTTCCATTTGAAAATTTCAATGCAAAGAATCCAGAAACACGATGAAAACTTTTTTGCCAATATGGTATATTCTGGATAGATTAACATAAATGTAAATATTTCATTTCAATATGATTTTTATTTAAAGAAAAGAAATTTATAATACGAAACGAAAGAAAAAGTGAAAATAGAAACATTTTTAGGTAAATCTAATACATTTAATTCGTGTTGAAAGAAAATTCATCCATATTGATGTTTAATTCGTGGAAGGATTGAAGCAAAGAATCAATGAGTTTAAATCGTATTAAAATCGCATTCTGGATTTAATAAGACCCGATTGCAGGACATAGTGCATCGCAAACGTGTTCAAAGAGCGAATCTTGTAATTAGTAAATGCCTTCGAAGGTGGGCGATCGATGAAATGAATAGAAGCCAAGCGGACAAATGGAGTAGATGAGTAATAATGCTAAAGAAAAGAAACATGTTTGCAATTTCTAGTGATTTCATGTGATTTTAAATATTGTTATGAAATAGATTTTATATAAAGAAACTTTAATTTTAATTATTTAATTATTAATTAATAATAATTTTTCCTTTAAAATTAAATAATATCAATTCTTCTAATTTTTCAAAAATTCAAAAATTTTATATATTAATAATTTTTCTATTCTATATTAATTTTTTATTCTTTCTTGACGTGTTTGTTATCTCCATTTAAAGAGAAACACTTTAATTATTAATTTTTGCACGATAAGAAAAATATGAAAGAATGCAATTATCTATGCATAATTATCTATGTGAAACATGAAATTTAAAAGTAAAAAATGAAAATTAATAAGCAGTGTTCATAAATATTTAGGGAATGTTGTATGTTAATGTATAAACAATTTTATTTTATTACTAAGATAAAGAAATGTTAGAAATTCGAGGGAGAAAGACTTTCTGAAGCGTTAAGTTCGAGAATATGTTAAGATTAAATTTACAGGATATTTCTAGAGTTAGCATAATTCTGGGAACTTGACCAGTTGAATTTCTACAGTTTAATCTGTTCCAGCAGTTTGAAAATTTCTGTTGTCCAAGATTTCGAATCTATAGAAGATCCACGACAAACTTTCGCATACCTTGGAAGCTTTGACAGGAACTTTGAACTTGTGCGAAGTTCGAAGATGTCCGCGTTAATTCGCAAGTTTGGAACTTGTTGAGATTAAATCGATCGATTATCGAAGTTTCAGTTTTCGTTTACAAAGCAAATTTAAAGTCATATCGAAGTTTTCAATATCCTTTTTCAAACTATTCACACAGTTTGTAATAGAGTTGTAATAGTTTGGTTTATAATAAAACAATTCTTATCCAATATTCAATATTTTTATGAGATGAAGTAATATCGTAATTTTAATCATTTTTTATTATTACGATGTTACAAGTAAAAATAAAAGTTAGAAAGATAGAAAATAATAATAATAAATGTAAGTAAAAAATTAAATATAATATAAATTTTATAAATAACAAATAAAATATTATTTTCCAGCGTGCAACGTATGGGGCAACGTTCCTCCGCGAAAATGTCGGCCACCGAAAATCGGCGATATTCCAAAGTGAGTAATAATTTTTAATAAAATTAAATAATCTTTAAATATTCGAATTTTCATATTTTCAGATATAAAAAGGAATACAGAAGAAATATCTCGATATACGGATTTTTAATTTAAAATTTGAACTTTAAATTTAAATAGAATAAAAATTATTTAATATCCGAAATAATAGGACATGGCTGTTTAAGTTAAAGGAATTTTTGAACGATAGAATGTTCTCCTTTTCTCATTATTGTATTATTTATTACAAAAAGAATAATGCAATAGCTATTACAAAGAGTAAATTACAATATAAATAAAATATTTTTTTAATTATAGTTTGCTGCTGAACCACATAAGCTTTTTAATTAGTATTACATTTTATTTGTTTATTTTAAATTGTAGCAGACTTCTCAGAATTAAAAGACAGTACTAGCAATATCTTACTAGCAATGAAACTTGCGGTATTTCGATCAGAACTCATCGTGCTGCATCATTATTTTTACATTCTTGATATCCAGGTATATTTCCTATAATATATCATAACATATAATATAACAAATAATTTTTTTATTTGTGTTTTCATCATTTTTTAGCTTCTGAAGTATCTTCGATAGAAACAATATGAGATTAAGAAAGCATATATCACGATTCAAAAATAAAATATTCAGTTAAACAAAAATTGGGATAATAAATAGTATGAATTATATCGATATCTTTATTATAAAATTTTAATATGGATAAGTTATTCTAACTTGAAAACGAGAAGATGTAGAGGTATCTAACTAAAATCAATTTCCGATTCTTCCGGTTGTAAAAAGTCGTTGGAGGATTGAATCGAAGTTCGATAAATTCGTAAAACGAGCTGCGCATTACAGAGATATCTGATTTCCCTCTCATACGTCGACAATTTATTTTCCGTTTAACTGGGATTATGCGGCAGATGATGATCTCTGAAAAAGCGTGCAATCCTTATCTGTCACATATCTAAAAATTGTGCCAAATCGAAATTGAAACTTTAAATTTAGATTTCAATTGAATTATCATTGGTATAATAATTATTTTTCCGATAATTTTTAATCAATCTTTAAACTTTCTCGATCGAACTTTCAATTCAATTTAACGTGTAAAGATCGAGGAAAATTTTATTTTTATATTTTTATTCTAATATTTTCTTACTTAATACGAAACAAAGATTGTTAAAATTTAATTACAAGACAGAAATCTCAAAATCGGTCTCTCCTTTCATTCAAATCCCGTAGAAACATTCCTAGTTAATTAATTTAATAATGGATTGTTCGTTGTCAGACGTCTAAAATCTTCATCTTTACTTACAACTAAAAAACGAAACAAGATCATTTATATCATAAAACAAAAAATATTTCTTCCTATTATTTACCATCATCTTCTAAATTAATTTATTTTACTTTAAAATTCCAATTTTATATTACAGACCAGAATCAAATTTATCATATCGTAATTTAATTAACGAAATAAAAATAAACTGAAACAATCGAGAAATTGTATTCAAACTCGAGATACTCTCCCACATATGAAATAGCAAACATAAGTTTTACTTACTAGATCAACTCGAGATTCTCTCAAAATGAATACTTCTCAAGTTATCCTATCTTGATTCTTTCGAACTTCGAAAATTCATTCGAAAAAATTGTTCAACGAATTAATAATAAATAAATTCTTCTTCGCTCAAATTTACACCCACGAAATCGTGTAATAAGGGATCCAACGATAAATTTGAGTTCGATCAACAGCGACCTTCGCGACGAAATGAAACAAGAAGGGGAAAAAAGGAAGGCAAGGAGCCACAGGGCCTAATCTGGTATAATGCATCTCGGCATGCAAATAGATATTTTTAACCTTGTCTCGAAGACGATCGATAGCCACGAAGCCGGCACGAAACTCGTCTAAATAATTGCTCCTCCTCGACGTTGGAAATCATTTTTGTTCCTTCATGGCCGCATCAATTGGATTCCGATGTCCCTTTCCTCGCTCTCTTCCCATAATTCCAATATCGGAATACGAAAGCGTCGTATTCCTCCTCCCTTCGATTCTTCTGTCGAATCGAATCGTACCTTATTAATATTCAAAATATGAAAAATCAATTTTCCATTCCTAAAACTAAAGTAAAATAAAATTTCGATGGAAAATTTTTCCAAATTCCATTTTTCACGAGTAAGAGCGTTCCGTATCGTAATTAATATTCATATGGAAGTAGAAAAACCATAGTTGGAATTACGCTTTTCTTTGACGCTGCAAAGTGTCGAGAGAACGTAATATTCCTTTCGGACAAAGTTTACACCCGGAAGCGTCGAGTTGTAATGACAGCACTTTCATCGTTATTCAACGACTAGTCGTGGCATCGACGAAGCGTGAAACGCGGTGAGAAGGCGTAAAAATCGATGATCGCTCGTAAGCTTTCCCGCGAGATGCTTTACGAATTTCGTGAAATATGTTGTTGCGTTTGAATTATAGTTTATTAACACGGTGTAACACTGTGGAGGAATCCCTCGAGTTCTCCCGCTTCCAAGAGAAAGGGAGAAAGATTAGACGAATTATCGTTGATTAATGGTACCTCGCATCGCACGTGCGTCTGAAATTTTTCAAATTCTGGCCTCGAAGAAATAATCTTTACGGTATTTTGAAATAAATTTATCGTAGAGAAAGATGTGAATGGTTAGTTAATGCAAGGTCTAGTAAATCTTTATGTATATATGGTTATTAACTCGAAGAAAATCGTGAAAAGATTAATATAATTTGAATACATAAACTTTTAGTCTATTAGATATTTGAAAACGTGGTAATTGAATTGAACATGTGTTAGTAAAAATTTTTTGAAATATATTATTAAATATTCTAGAAGTGTTTTATAATTTCAAAAAAGGATATAATAAACAAGCGATGCATTAAGAAATCTATTGAAAATAATAATAGATCTTAGGAAAATTTATTAAATGAATTGTAACCTGTTTCGAGTCAGTGAGCTCGTTGAACGTGGCCTTTCGCTACTACTACGTTGACGAGAAATACGCTATGAATAGCGAAAATTCTTTTCATTATTGTTTCAATTAAACGAAAAATAAAAGAACCGTTTATGCCGGATGAACAGACGCGTTTTTTTACTTCGTTTGACCCAATTTTCATCGTTGCTTTTGTTATCTCGAACAACTATCTTATATTCCATTTCTACCTCCATTTCTTCTTCTTTTTTCTTTCTTTTTTTTTTTTTTTTTTT